AGCAGAGGTAGAAAAATGCACCCAAAAGATATAAATTATGCCTCCCACTCTATTTTAACTTTGCCTTTCAGATCTGGAAGAGAGGTTCTTTTCTATATTATGTTTCCTGGCATCTCTCCATGAGGTGAATGTATGAATTCTCAGCACAGCCTGCTCTCTTCCCTACAAAAAGTGTAGCAAACGCCACCTTGCCAACGGGGCTTTACCAAGTTCTTCGGAAGCGCAGTGATATAAATTATGCCTCCCACTCTATTTTAACTTTGCCTTTCAGATCTGGAAGAGAGGTTCTTTTCTATATTATGTTTCCTGGCATCTCTCCATGAGGTGAATGTATGAATTCTCAGCACAGCCTGCTCTCTTCCCTACAAAAAGTGTAGCAAACGCCACCTTGCCAACGGGGCTTTACCAAGTTCTTCGGAAGCGCAGTGAAGGGATAGTAGATGATCTATGGCAAATTAGCATTTTTTCCAAACTGTGGCAGATGGCAGCATCAGCCCATTTTGCATAGGCTCATTTTTCTCGTGCACTTTCTGCCGTTCACCTCACGGGCATTAGAAAATGCTTTGCGTATGGTTTACTGTCTGTTGTGATTAATTTGAGTAAAGTAATCCCTGTCATTTAAATGTTATTAGCTTTACAAGTCTGTTTGGAAAGTCTGTAATCAGTTTGTTCCATTCACTGAGAAGCCCTCAGTTAAAACAGCTATGCCCCAGATTTCCTCTTTTGTCAAAAGTATTTGACACCGTCCAGTGAGGTAAATGATAATCCGCAAAGAGAAAAGCAGTGATGAATCCTGTTCCACGGATTCACAGTCAAAATTAAATCCTCTCTTCAGGTGCTTTCAAAATCTGGCTCTTGTTTGGCAGTTCTTGCCAAGCCTCACCACCCTCACTGACAGAAGTTAAGATGATAGTCACTGGCACTGATTTCCAATGGAGAAGGTTTGCATTGTGATTACTCACTTTGCACGAGATAAGAAGGGCAAATTAATCATACATATCTGTCCTAACCTATGCCCTAGTTCTGCAACTGGCTGTGCAAGCAAATGCCCGTACCGCCCCGCCAGCTATGGGGATTTCCTGCAGAACCATCCCCGAGCTGGATCGGTTGCACCGCTCTGCAGGTTTCCCGCTTCCAGCCACACTACTTCACAGTAGAAGGCCACGGGGCAGAGGAACTGCCAAAACACCGGTGTCAAGACATTTGCTCATGTGCTGCCTCTGCATCGTGAGCTAGACCACATGCAAGTCTCCACGCTCTGTTTTTCCAGTTGCTCAAAGAGGCTGGCAAAAGAGCATGGAACTCACTGGTTTGGCCTGCTAAAGGTCATGACACACATTAAATGAGCAGCTACAAATCATGTAATGAACGGGACACCGTCAGAAGCTGTAGTTTGTTCATGTCTTTCTGCCCATCTGCCGGGGATGAAATCAAAATATGACCCATACTTTATTTTCTTGATAATTAAAGAGTCTATATTTTTCTGTTAATTGACTGAATGTTCCTTTCTTTTCAAATGTCCCTTTCCTTTTCAGAATTAATACTTTACCAAGATTTCATTTTTTTTAAGTCTGAATGGACACTAGGGGGGGTTCTAGTTAGTACAATGGGGATCTAAAACATCTGTATGTCTCTTCATAAATACAAAATTCTGTGTTGCAGAGAGTTATTTTTAATACTTGCTACTTATTCATGTATCAATCACATCTTCTCAACGTTCCCCTTCTGCAGGTGCTGGAGAGTCAGGAAAGAGCACTATTGTAAAGCAAATGAAGTAAGTATATGAATATTCATATCAGTTGTTGAATCTGGTATTTGTAGTATAAGCTATCTAGCTAATGTCTTATTACAATATTTATGCTTATTTAAATAAAATGCAAAGAAACATCATTCAAATCAAGTTCTCATTCAACCACATAAAGAAAAATACAAAGTGACTAAGACACACAGCTGGATTGGTAATCAAATCTGTCTGATCAAATCATGCACTGGTCCAACTCCTCAGTGAAGACCAGGGAAGTTTCTTCATCAGCTTTGGTAGGAGTTACAGTACTGTAGTGAGAACATGAATGTAGAAGACAACCAGCCATGGTAGATCCAGCTAGCCTAGTATCCTGTCTCCTAACGAAGTAGCTAATGAAGGATGTTTCCAGAAGAACATCAAACCAGACAAGCAAACACACAGTAATACTCGCGCTGGATACCCTGATGGTATCTCATGATCTGTGACTCAGGCACCATCCTGAACCAGAGACGGTATCACTGTGTTTAACAGCCCTCAGTTAATTCATGCCTATGTTTCTCCTGAATCTTTTTTGAACCAGTGTAAACAAATAACATCCACAATATTCTGTGACAAGTCGTTCCACAGTTTAATTACATATGATGTGAATCATCTCCCTTTGTTCAATTTTAATTTGGTCCCTATTAATTTCATTTGATTTCACTGTATTACAAGAGAAAATATTGAAGTATTCACACTGTATAATAGTGCAAAGTTTTGTTGGTTTTTTTCCCAAACTGTGCTATGTAGATCATTCTTGGTCTCCACAGACTTATTCCAGCTCCTGCCAGAGAAAGATTGTTCTCAGGTCTCCCACAGGCCAGACGAGAACATCTTTAGCCGCCAGCCTACACAGTGAGCAGCTGCTTCCCATCATCTAGCATGGGTAGGGACAGTCATGAGAACTGCTTTCAGCAAGGAAAGTATCACCCCAAAAAGTTTTCATACAGTAGTCAATTGGAAAAAACAAGCTCAAATGCAGAAATCCGTGTTCAAATTTGGACTGAGTATCTGGTTAGGAAGATCGCGTGACTGCACCATAAATCTCCAAGAATACTTGTAGATGTTTGTTCAAAGCGCAGACGGTGCCACACGGATTGAAGTCAGTAGCTTTATCTCCCCTGGCTTCAGAGGAAGGTCAAATCTTTGTGGTGTGTGTCCCCATTTACAATTTACTATCACAATATTTTCACATATAGTAAAACAGACTAAAACTAAATTCATTCATGTTATTCTTTTAAGGGTAGCCAAAATACTAATCATGTATGTGGTTTAAATAGATAATCCACCTGAGTTTGAGAGATCATACTTACACAGGCAGCAAAAATCCTCTGCCACTGTGTAAACTGCTAAAATATTGCTGTTGTATCTAGCCTTATTCTCATAGACAGTGTCCAGGTCTGCTTCCTAGACCTGTCTAAATACAGAAAAATATTACACAGGAATTGCAACTGTTTAGACGTGACCCCACTTTGTAAGCACCAATCTCTTCCTGTGTAAAAATCAAACAGACTGTTTTATGAAATCAGTAATACTGTTCCGAATTTAAGTTCTCCTAACTATTTCACATCTTCACCAGTGCATTTTAAAGAGTGAAATGTTTATGTCGTAAAAGCAATTTTCTACTATTTAAGCAGCTCATTTTGTAATAAGACAGATTCAGAGCCATCCATCAAATACTTTGCTAAGTTTTTTGTTCCAGTTAAATGGTGGATAATTTTATTTCTGTTTTGAGTTCCAATCAGGAAACCCTCCCTATTCAGCAAACCATTGAAATGTATTGTGCTGAAAGCTTCCCCAAATAGAAGTAGATTAAAGATATTCCTCTGAATTGAGCACTTTAAGAAGGCTGATAACGCTTAACAGCATCGAGGAAGGGGCAAAAAACTGCAAAGCTGAGAGTTATCTTTAAAGCCCTGTGCATTTATGTGCTGTCAACCTGATCACAAATATGAATTATATTACAAGAAAACTGTTCATGAAAATTATCATTTTTCATATGAAATGTCATCTTTCTGTCACAACAAGGACTTTTTTTTTAAAAAAGGGAAATTTTTCAGTAAAAAAACCAATTTGTTATTAATTTTTTCAGTGAAGCATAAAATTTTCTAGTGAAGACTGATAGCTGGTTACAAAAGAAATAATTTTGCAGAAAATACAATTTTCCACCAAAATCAGAGTAATTTTACTCCTATTAATATAATTTTCTAATTCATAAACCTCATTCTTTCCAGACTGAATATTTCAATCAAAGTTAAATCCTTCCACTAAGCTTTGCACAGTATTTTCTGATGCTCAAAATATAGATATACCGCAAGGCCCTAAAAAGGCTAAAGTGGTTATGAGGGATAACTGAAAAGGGAAAAAAAATAAGCTTCTCTGGAGCCCTGTGCTTCTGACTAGATCATTTCCAATGTGTGATCTAACTTTTTTAAAACCAAGTTGAGTATTTCTGTGCTACGCCCTAAGTTAGCGGTACAAACCTACTACAAATAATTCTGCAAATGAAAAGGAGGAAACAAAATATTTGGTAACTCATCATGCCTACTGAGATTGAGTCAACTCCACCTATCTGGTGAGAAGCCCTCCTTGTGTGAAAAAAAAAACAAGACACAAACTTTTTGCCTCCAATAAAACATAATTTAGATATTATGACTGGTAGCCTAACACCTCATGCCTTCAGCACCCTGCATTTATTTTTTAAAGGTTGTTTATTTTTTCAAGGAGGATCAGGGAACAAAATTTTCCATTTGCTAAAATGCTCCTCCTGGCCATACAAGATGTCAGCCTGTTTCACAATCCTTCCTCAAGAATGACAGATCTTTAATAAAAGCAGCAAAATTTACTACTGATTTAACAGACTGGCTAACATACCTTCTGCCAGAGGACATAAATATATTACTTAAAAAAAAAAAAAAACACCAAACAGCAAAAACAATGAAAAGCCTCGAGCAAAACCAAGTTTTCTTTCTGTAATTACAGAATTTGGTTTTATTTCAGAATCTTATATTTTCTTCCTCCCTTTGTTCTTCAAAGGGAAAGCATGAAAACAACGTATAAAATAGCCATTTGTGGACTGTGTTAGGGCCTTTCCTTCTCTCTCGTCCCAGATTTTTGCAGCCACAGGCAAAACATCCATCTTCGCCAGAAATCCTCTTACAGGCACCGCTGTGAAACACACAAAGCAGTTAAACCAAACTCCGTGGGGTTTGAGTTGCTGTGTATTTCATTCCATTATGTATAGAAAAGCTGCTGCTTTCACAAGTAGTAAGGGTAAGAGTGAGAAGAATATGCTTAAGCACCGCTGCGAGGTTCAACGTTGATGGCAGCTGAAATTATTTCCTGTTAAAGGTGATCTGACCCATTGAAGGAGGCCACCTACCCCAGTGGGGAGCTCTGGGCTCCATGGCACTTCACACACGTGGGGAAACATCTAAAGAACCCTTTCTTCCTACAGATGCTATTCCTACAGACACAAGAATGCAACTTTTGAATTTTCTGACATCCGTAAGTCAGAGATGTCAAGACACATTCAATTGTGATCTGGGTTTTGTGCGCGTATGTGTGAGTGAATTATTTTCTGACAGGGCTGACTTCTCCCCTTGAAGGGGAAGTCTCCCCAAGACACTCACCTATACTTACTCTGGCCTAACCTGTCAGATCCTTTCACATCACCCCTTTCTTCTTGTATAGATCTGTCCAGATTGTATCTCTGGCAAGAGACAGGGGGAAAAAACAAACAAACAAACGCCAGAAATTATTTATTTAAATAACCTGGCCTTCATTTCTGAACAACTGAGGTGAGGAAGAAGAGAGCCTTGGTTCCAGCAGCAGCCAAAGCAGTTTGGTGTCTGTACGTTGGGAGTACGCTACACCAGAACGGGTGAAGCTGTCATCCTTCTTCACAACTCACGGAAAAAGATGTCTCTGAGTCATGATATAATCTGCACACTGATCTTGGAGAACTTTAACCACATGCCATTCTCCAGTCAAGGAGGATTATAAAATTATAATTCTTCTGTCAGAATTAGATTAATTGAATTTGACTGCTAAGGTTCTTTGGCCTCTGGAATACAGGTCAAATCCTCTGGAGTAATATGTATGTCCCCAAAGCCTCTAGATAATAACAGTAACATCTTTCAATAACTAGAAATTGTAACTGATGTACAAAGAAATATTGAAGATTTTTTTTGTTTGTTTTCTTGAGGAAGTACCTCACAGTATAGAAATATTTTTTGCAATAATTCTTCTACTCTAGGTAAGATTCTGGGTAAAATCGAGAATGATTAAACAAGCAATGTGACAGCCCATGACTAACATTGTAGATTCCAGTAATGAAGATTTGGGATCTAAGTACAGCTATGCATCTTGTCCTGTATCCACAGGAATGGGCCTGGGTCTTGTTCTGGATTCATACATTACCTTATACTGACCCACAAGGCAAAAAACCAATACCTATTCACTCAGGCTGGGAAGTCAAAACCTAGCCTCATAAATTTAACCTTACAGAGTTGCAGAAACTGCTGTTTACCTCTTCCAGCAGAATAGGCAGATCAAGCATTGATAAATGCTTTTTTAAGGGCCAGACGGATTCAGTTCTTTCTCACGCAGACCACAGAAGCATCTGATCCAACTTTTCAATACTTTCTTTTTTTTTTAATGCGTCCCATAAACCTTTTGCTTTCTATTTTTGCACCAGGATCATCCATAAAGACGGTTTCACCTACCAGGAACGCATGGAATTCAGACCTATCATTTACAGTAATGCAGTGCAGTCTATCCTGTCTATCGTGAAAGCCATGACTAAGTTAGGAATCAGTTATGAAAACCCAGCTAGAATTGTGAGTATGATGCCCTTTCTCTTCAAATAGAATACAATTAGAATACAATTTTCTGTAGTATAATAGTAGAGACTAGTAGAACAAAGAGGGTTCAGCATTTGCTTTATGACAGTGGAAACTAAGTACTGCTTGAGTTATATGTGACAAGATGTCCTTACTTATTTTTATTTTCTCAAGACTGATGCCTGAAGTCTAACCTTTGCATAAACTGCCATTTTGCTTGTTACAAAAGAAATGTTCAACTTGCAAAGACATAAGAAAGCAAAAAAAAGAACCTTTTCTTAGCTGCTTAGTCACTTATTTATTGCTATTGCTATTGCTATTGGGAAATAAATATTTTCCTTTTATGAACAAACCTTGGGGCTCAGCCATGTAAGGAAGGGTCATCTAGACATGCTGGGAACATTTCAGCTTGGCATTGCTGCTGGAGCAGAGACCTCCCCGCCGTACGGATGCAGCGCTGGGCATTGGCCCTGCAGGGAAGCGGAGTCTGACCTTCCTGACAGGGTTAGCAATCCTATGCACAAGCGCAGAGAGGAAAAGCCACAGTAAGAAAACCTGCTATCTTCTGGCAATCACGCTGAATTTTCAGGGACAGAAGTAAAGGAAAACCACATACTTTTCTTCTCAGTGCAATGATTTAGTTTATTGCCTGTAATTCAGACCTTGCTGAGAATTTCTCAAAGGCCTGTCAGAAAATCAGCTGGTTCCAGTTCTGGCAAATTCTGCCTATTCCTTAGAGGTTTATCTTAGAGGGAATTACATCTGCTTATCTGAAAGAGCTCTTCTTGTCCCAGAAGTCTACATTTCATCACAATGACACATGGTCCTTTGACCTAAAAAATGATGAACAAATGCTTCAGAGGTTGCTAAAGCTCATACAGTCATTTGACAAAATAGAAGCGAAATGGTTTCTTCCTGTATTCTTTTAAGGGTCCATGAACGCAAGTCATTCAAACAAATGTAGCGGTGCCCAAAAGCAGCACACAGAAAATAGGCTCATGTGAACGTGCTGCAACTTGGCCCGTCTCCTCAGCTGTGACAGACCCATGCCCTGCACAAGGACCCATCCACCAGCCCACAAGGTCTGAGACAGCTGAACCTTGCAGCACCCAGCCACAGGTCCTGGCTCAGCCTCTAGTATCCACTACGTGGTCCAGACTCTGTTTGCCATCTGTAATTGAGATAATTGTAATTGCCTGTGCCCTGGTACTTCAGCCCCTTTTCTCAGCCCTGCCAAACTCTCTGAGAGGTTTATACGTGTTCACTCATCATCTATCATCTATGCCAGTTTCATAGACACTATTTTCAAGGGATTTCACAGCCTGGGAAACTGGGCATTGAAAATTTTTGTTAAATAGCCCAGCTCATTTCTTAGCATTCTATATAACCAAATGCAAAAAATACAGCTTTTGTAAGCTTATCATTTATAGCACAGTAAGCCCACTCTTACTGTCGTTGGCAGAATAGGCCTCTAGGAATACAGTTGAATACATCTGTATAAAATATTTGCAGTGCCTGCCTTCTTTTCCCCCAGAACCACATAGGGGCAACCTGGATGTGGATTTTAAAGAAAATAGAAATATTGGTCACATTTATTTGAATCACCACTAAACGTTGCCCTTTCTTCCAAAAATAAACTTAGCTTACATTTTCTGTAAAATCATAAGCCATTTATAAACTTGAGTTGTTTTGATATAAGCTTTGATTTCAGCTTTGTTCTTGCTGTGCACTGGTCCAGATTTAGCTGCTTAATGTCATCTAGCCCAAAGACTGGGCTTATCTTGGGCCAGAAAGCAATGGGTTTATCCATCTTCCAGGACTGTCTGCAAATACCTCTTAGTGGTCCTGAAAGTGCCTCAGCACGTAATTTTGAACAACATCTGTTCTGGGGAGAGAGGTATTTTTTTCTTCCCAAAGCGCCACTGCAATCTACTTTTAATATGAAAATAATCTGAAGTCTGTGTAAATGCCAGAGAGAAACAAAACATTATCTAAATCAGGGTTCTGATAAACTCAATCTGCCGCTATCTCCCTGTTTTACATAAGCATCAAAATCCACAGTTGCCACCTTTTGCATAATAATCAATGAACATTCACCGTACACCTGGAGGCTCTGAGCTCAAGGCTTCTCGCTGCAGGCTATTCAACCAACAAATCCAACCTTGTAGGAGGATAGCTGTAATCATTAAATGATATGTGATATCTTGAAAGAGAGAACATTCCAACTCTTATCTTGAAGCTGAACAAGCCTGTGCCCTGGAAAGCAGCCCTGGAGGCAGATGAGGGCACGGGCGAGAAGGCAGGGCTCCGTGCTGCTGACCCCGGCAGCAGCGAGGGGACGGGGTGTCAATGGAGCCGGTGCTGTTTCACGTAGAAGGGCAATTGTACGGCTGTCCTCCTTCCTCTTTCAAACGAAGGCAATTCTCTAGTGGTTATTTCCCCCTTTTTTTTCTTTTCTCCATGCTAACTCAATTTCTCCAATATTTCAGAAAACAAACACACGCCCTGCCAAAACAGTGTCTGTCGGAATCCATTTATACTTTTGCAACTATTGACTGCAAGTCACTTCAGTTTTCTACTTATACGGCTAGGAAGGAATTATATTCTATAATTATTCACCGCTGTGACAGTGTATCAAATGACCCTATTTTAATCCTGCTCTTTATTTACAGTACATTCCTAAGCTGTTAACCACTGAAAAGAAATACTTTTCATGTAATACATTACTTGAAGTCTTTTTGGATTGACTGCAAAAGGAAGAAATTACAGAATAATATATTTTGAAAATTTGGTATTTTATTCAGTTACAGGTTTCTTCTTCCCCAAATAAAAAAACATATGGGAAATGCATTCACTAGTTCTATTCACTTTGCCACATTTCTCACGGCAGCCTAAAGCTAGAAATTTTTTCTTCCAAATACATTAAAAATATATTTAGCTATGTATTTCTGCTTTGATGTAGTTATAACATTTTTAAGCTTTAAATATCCTTTTTAATTTAGTTTGTGATATCCCCCTACTCTCTCTTACAATAAAAACCGTCCTTCCAAGTTGGACCTTTTGTGAACATCTACGGTAAGATGAAACTGAGCCCTTGTATGAACAAAACAAAACAATAAAAAGAGGAAAACTCTGTGCATCACGATTCAGGTCTAACCTTGGCACTAACTAAAGGGAAGTGAGCTTGTAAAAGGATGCTTACATGCACAGGCGAGTACAGCTGCCTGGAAAAATCAGGGAAAATGAGAAAATTTGCCCCTGCAACTCACTCTAAACCACACACATCTTCAAGGCGGTGGAGGGGCACAGTGCGCTTGCACAGTATTTACTGAAATTTCTCTTTAGGAAGATGAAAGGAAGCTGTGTGCCATGGCAACAACTCTGGAGGACGGCGACATGTCTTCTGAATTGGTCGAACTCATCAAACGAGTGTGGAGCGACGGGGGGACCCAGGCCTGCGTGGCCAGGGCCGCGGAGTACCAGCTCAGTGACTCGGCAGCCTAGTAGGTGACGCCAGCCGCCGGGGCTGAACGGCCGGCCCGGGCCGGGCCCCCCGGCAGCGGGGCAAGGCTTGCGACAAGAACTCTTCCTCACGTGCAGAGTAGCCTACGAAAATTATTGCTCATTAACAGGAAAAAGAATGAGGTTTTTTGAAAAAGAATGAGGTTTTTTGCTAATGTTTATAGTATATTAGAAATGTGTAACTGAAGGAAACAAGTGAAAACAAGGAACAACTTGTTTCTCTGAGCTTGTTTAAACTGTAAAAAAAGAAGTCTGTTCCCTCTCTAGGTAATTCTAAGATTGACAAAAGGAGGGAAAAGGTGGATTGAAACAGCTTAGGTTTTATCTCGCGTTGTACTCTGAATGCATACATTTCAAGCTGCTAAACGTAAGTCTGGAGAAAACCCCACGAACTTCCCTCTGAACTACCGTGGCTGCGCGGAGGGGAGCTCCCCG